CGCACGAGAATCGAACTTGGGTCTTCTGCATGCGACGGAAATGTACAACTGACCTTATAGGCGCACTAAGATGGCCTAGTTCTGACCGTTACTCCATAGACCCGGTCTTACGGCTCGGAGATAGCATTGGTACAATAACGTGTGTGCACGTTGGAGGGTGCACATTGAGCCATACCCGGGCCGTGCTGGTGAGAAGAGAGGTTGGTTTTTTTTTTCGGTGTTTTACGGCGCTCGCAACTGTAAACGGTCATATGAGCGCGCGGGACACATTAAACATTTTTCAATCGGTGGGAAATTTGGAATTTTGCCGGGTGGAGGCCGAAGCCTTCTCTTATCGACTTTGGACCACCAAGGGATTTTTAACGTGTGCAACTTGCACAAGGGACCTCTATATGTTTCGCCTTTGTCCGAGAAGGCGAGGTGTAGATCTTACCTACTAAAATATCAGGGACGCGGCTGAAGGACAGGAGTAGGAAGGAGCCAAGGAGAAGTCGTAGAAGGTCTGCAGAAAGAGTCAGGAGCCCAGAGGAGATAAAGGGGATGAGGGGATGGGGGCAGAAAGTGGAGACGAAAGCAGACGAAAGAACATTGTCAGAGAACAAGAAAGGAGGTGAAAGGAAAACGTTTTAGAGAAGAAAATTTTCCTTCGCTATCCGGATTCGAACCTGGGACATATTGAAAGAGAGGCGAACACCGGAACCTCTCGACTACCAGAGCCCCGTGAGGAGAGAGTACTTGAGGGAGAACATGCTAGGGAAAGCGAGTTTGTGTATTTGTGCAAGGGCGTGCTCCTTATTAAAAAACGAATGGAGAAAAACTTTCATAAATAAAACGGAACATGCATTTCAATTTCTTCGGTACTTTTTGGATAAGAAAATTCCCTCATATGAACTGCATTGGATAATTAAAACCAAAAACAAAAACAAATTAAAACTTTGAAAAGAACAACCAAAAACAAACCGAAAAATGGAAAAACAAAACCGCAAGGACGGCCAAATCTGTAAAACGGGAAGTTAGACATGAGAAACAAGATATATAACATCAAATTCGACAATAAAAGTATAATGGCAAAGTTTTTCACGGCACACAGGGGCATTAGCGATACATACATGTATCAGGATTACCAAGATTACAAAATGTCAGTCACAGAAATATTATACAGCTTGAATACAAAGTAGGGTTAGATTTTGAGACCGAGTCAGCAAGACAACAGACAAGATACGTGTATTCTGTCAGTTCAAAGTAATAGATAATATCTATGGAATATGTAGAACAATTCATGATAATAGACATACAGCAAAGCACTACCCTGCATTTTGTGCACACGACACAGGCTATTCTTGTATCGGTATGTGCGTACATTCTTATACATATCAGTACAAAAGGCTTGGGGAAATCTAGATTCTACAGAGCGGTCACGAGGCAAATCCGATATAAAGTAACAGCCCAATAAATCGTATTTGAAAACGCTAATGAACTTGCTCACGTTATGGACTAAATCGAGCGCTCACTAATGAGAACTGGGCTAAAAACGGACTCTTTTATCTCTGTAGCCCGTACAAAAATCAATAACAAAACCAATCTTTTTTTTTTCAATCCTGGATTATTTTTTTTAAGCAACAGAAATCAAAGAAAAACCCCCATTAAAACAAAAGAAAACAAAAACAACAACAAATAAATAATTTCAGAAATAAAAAATAGTGAATGCGCTGATTGGTCACCAGACCAGAATGCAAATTACTCGACCATGATTTTCCTTGTTCCTTCCCTGTGTGTATAGACAATAGTGTCTCTCATTTTACTATCACTTAACTTTTTTTCTTTAGTAGTCCCGTATTTTATTTCTGATGTACAATAAACCACCATTTCACTCAGCGAATGTTATTGTTGCTGTACCGGCAGTTTATTTTATTAGGTTTCGGGTGAAGCCCAAGAGGTGAAATATTAAGAGCTGGAAATTCGTATCAAACTGTTCGTAAACAGTCCATGTCTCCATACGTTACGCTACTAGATGATGATGATGATGATGATGATGATGATGATGATGATGATGATGATGATGAAGAAGAAGAAGCAAGCACCAAAATAGCAACAAATTGAAAGCTGAGCCACACATGGGATAAAGATAAGACAAGATGTTTCGTGAGGTCGGAATGGGTGTGGGAAGGGAAGCAAAAAAGCAAAAGAGGTGGACTGTGCAGGCTTTAGATTGAGAAAGGAGTGGGGGTGTGGGGTCGGAGGGGTCGGCATAGACAGGACCCACGACCTGGGAGAAGGACCATTCACTGGGCAGCAGGCAAAAAACACTGGCTATGATCTCCAAGAACACTACCTATAGCCACCAATTTTGTTGTCTTTTTTCTTTCAAACCACAAGGTCTGAACACTACTCTTCGTGGACCATTCCATGGACATTGAAAGTGCAGTGGCACAGGCAACGCGGGGGTGACGATCTGCAGGAAAGTTATGTTAATGTCTCATACATATATGGAGCGTTGAGCCGTGATTTTAAAAAAAAAAATTTTTTTGGGGGGCGGGGGTATTTTCTCAATTGATTGATTGATTTTATTTCTTTTTTTTCTCTTCTTTTTTTTTGGTTCTATCATAAGAGGAAGTTTGCCCCTAACAAACAAACAAAACAAAATATATTTTAAAACAAACAAACAAAAAAACCCCAATAATATAAAGAATGGCTCTACCACTGCTTAATTTTTTGTTCAGCTACTCATCGTCTCTTCGTTATGTGTGCTACAGCAGTTTCATTTTTCATGGAATGGCCCTCACAAGCATTGAGCTAAACTCTCCCTCCTAAAGGCAAGATAGTAGCATGGAATGAGCCCCATGAACATCAAAGCTAAACTCTCCCCTCTAAAGGCAAAAAGCCGCGATCTACAGCAAAACCTCACAGAGCGGGGCACAGTGGGACAGGGGTCAAGCCTTAGTTATGCGCACTCTTTTGGGGTGAAGAACTTATGATATAGTTAGACAGGATTTGCTTTTAGAATGTCAGCTTAAAATAGTCACAAAGTGCATGACGCTTATCGTGTTTTCGTACATAGGTTTGGGACCTGACTTAATGCATCTCGAACGACCACATAATGCCCAAAAAGACTGATATAAACTATTAGATGTGTCGTGGCGCGGTGGAATCAGGCGCTTGTCAGTTTTTGGGCATTTGGAGTTAACAGTATCGTCTTAAAGCTTCTTCATTTTCAGGAAAAAATCCACACTGAATTGTGTTTTTAAATGGATATAAAAGGTTTTGAGCCCCCCCCCCCCCCTCCTCCCAAAAATTTTTAAAAATGGAAAATTCGAAAAAAAAATTGCCCAACCGCTAGAAAAATGCCGGTGATTTCATTGTTTTGAAGAGCACCTGATTTCACCATGTTGACTCGCATAGTATATCAATCCCTTAATATAATGGGTTCTATACATTATCTATTAATTTTTCACCGAAACCTTCAGACGTTTAAAAGTTAAATCACAAAGTAGAATACACCGAATGAGAGGTTCATTACAGAAAGTAGTTCTGTATATTATTATTAATTTCTTCGATGAAAATATAATTCACGAAAATGAGAAGAAAAAAAAGTAACAAGAGAGGCGGATTAGGAACTTCACACAAATGCACACACGGATTAGACTGCTAGAGGCAATATGGTGGTGTGGTTGCTTCACTTACCCGGATTAGTTCAATTTTCTGAAGTGAAAAGGAGGTGATGAGAGGAAAGGAAAGCATTAATATTCATGGTCTGAGGGCGGATGCAACACATGGCATGGTTCCACAGAGACGTGCATTCCCCAACATGTAATAAAAATATGTATATATATAAATATACAGTTCATAACTAGCTATCTGAAGCGATACAAAATAATAAGCCATATAATATATAATTTTTAATGAACAAAAAACACAATGTGCAACATGAAAATAGAAACATAATAACACATTATTCCCAATCCCTTTCTCCCCTTCCACTCCCATCCCTTCCCCAAAACATTTCAAACACAAAACCAGAAATGATAAATGATACACCACAGAACAGAAAATGATGCCCCCCCCCCCCCCCCCCCACACACACACACACACTCACACACATAAAATGTAAAAGCACCTTGTGTAGGATGAAAATAGTTATGTAAGTCCAGCAATTTACTAAAATGTCTACGGGAATGGCACAAGCACACTAAGAAACTATGAGAGGATAAAGAGGGGAAAATGCAGACACTATGATCAGAAAGAACATGAATAATATAATAAAGCTTTTATATATAATAGGAAGGGAATGGAAGTTGAGCAGAACAGAGAAATTAGAGCGGTCTAGGAAGAACACTTTGATAACCACGATAATAGTAGCAGTAGATGACATCAACATGGACCCCCAAACACAAACAACAAGTGAGAAGCCCTGAGAAGAAAAAGAAGGGACGGGAGCAATCAAAAGCTCAAAGCGTCGCATGTTCAGCCAGAAACCTGGAGCCAGGTCAGAGCAGGGAATGGGGGAATATGCCAGAACAAAGAGCTTACGACATGGGGAAGGTTGTCATGCATCATGCATCTCAACACTCCAGAGTGAGTCACAAAAGTCAGTCACAAAGAACTGACCATGGACAAGCTGAAGGCATAAAGGGCAACCAGCAACATGCGGCTCATCAGGGAGGGAGCATGTCCAATATGACTATTGACCATGAGAGCTTTTCAAGTTGACCGATGACCTGGCTAATGATATTCTTGGACTACAGCTCTGAATAAGTGTACAGTCTACATCCAGAAATGGCTTTGAGTTAATGGGTCACAACCTTAGACTTTGCAATCTTACGCTGCAAACTGTTCCTTACAGTGAAACCATCGATAATTCTAGTACCATGTAAAAAACTGTCTTCTTTGTCCTTTTTACACTGTGCCAGTGCTTTGAAATTCTCTGGAGTTGGTACTGTTATTTTACGCTTAAAAAGAACTTGAGATCAGCCAAACTTGACAGGAGGATTTAAAGATAAACTGCAGCCCTTCTTTATTCTGCATATAAGACATCTTTAAACCTGTCTTCTGTCTCTTTGAGTTAAAGAGAAGGGCATCATCAGAATCATGACTACAATGCTATGACGTAATTGATCCTGACACAATCATGGATATGCTAAATTTTAGCATGTAAGGAAGAGTTGAATACAAAGGAAAGGAGGCACATAAACATGTACAAGAAACAGAAGGGCTGGAAAAAAGCAGAACCTGTCAACGTCCAAACTTTCATTTACTGCTTCTTATTCAGAAAGCACATTGTCAGCCAGCTGTTCAAATGCATTAAGTCCAAAATGTTGAAATTTGTTTCTATTGCAATTTTAAAATTCAGTGTTGTGAGTTGCATGTACTCCAAAAGTATTTTGTCGAAATTTAAATTCTAAATGTTGAAAAAAAAGCAAGAAGAAATACGTTATGTGTTCATGCAATTGTTTAAAAAAATGAAATTCCTTTTCTCTCCCCAGAAAAATTTTGTTTTCAGGGCTTAGAAGAATTGAACAGCTTGCCGACAGTATCAGCTTGCTCAGTGCAATGATATGAGTCTGCTGTGTGGGATTGTATGAGTTTGCTCCGCGGAATGGTATGAGCTAGTTCTGTGCACACATCTGACACGATCAAGGCAAAGCCTGAACTCACCTTGAGCTCATCGATGTCCTGCTTCATGGCCGCCGGCTGGGAGCCTGGGCTGAGGAACTTGTTCAGGGTCTTCATGCTGTCGTCCAGCCAGTCACACAGACCACGCCATGACTCGTCAAACTGGACACACACAGTTTTACAGTTAAAATGTATGCTTCCCGGGAACTTGAGAATGTTCATAGATTGTAAAGTGCATAGACTTTGCTGTTGAGCAGGGATATGCACTATACAAATGTTATTTATTAAGAGGATTCTCTATTCTTATGGAAGGCTCATATGACTAAAATATTTAATTAAAATTTTTTTATTTTTTTTAACTCCGTGGCCAGCCAGTTTATTCCATATCTACCAATTCAAGTCTTCACTGTGACTGATAATACTGCTGCTTGTATGATACATACCAGACGACAAGAAAAATCTATCAAGACTGTTGAAAAGAAAAGATGATTATCTCCAGTTAAATCTGTGATTCTACATTTACATTGATATAGAGAGGCAAAATTCGACACAGTGAGCGGTCTATGAAAAACAATAGAAATTAAATGTCAAATTTAAAAGCTAGGGTTCTAACACCATCAAGGGAGACAACTCACCCTCTTGTCTTCCCTGTAGGCCTGTTGCAGTAGCCTGCCCCTTTCGTCAGCTCGTCTCAGTAACTTCTTCCAGCGCAGCCTCATGCCCACCAGCAAGTTCTTCACGTAGGTCGTGTCCTGTTTGCGGCCAAAGTATTTAAGGAATGTGCCCGTCCGCTCCAGCACGCTCATCTTCTCAGCCTGAGACTCCAAGTCAGCCCTCATGACCTGGTTGGGTGATATGTAAACGTGTACATATATATATATATGAAATGAGTCATCATGGTGAAATCAGGCGCTCGTCAAAATAATAAGATCGAAGAAATTGGCATTTTCTGATCATTTGGAAATTTTAACTTATTTTTTGTTTTTTTTGCTCAATACCTTTAGTGAAAATAAATATTTAGGATAGCCATAAACAGTAAATGGCGAGATGTTCTCAGGGTTAACAGACAGACATAAACAACAAAAGTACAACTCACCAGAAACACCCTTCAACCTCCCACATGCATGCACACACACAGACATACATACACACAAAGAAACATACATTCAAGCATGCTTTCATTGACCCTCTAACCTACTGACCTCATGTTCCTGTATCTGCTTGGTGACTGTGTCTACTAGTTTGCTGGGGTACTTGTAGCTCCTCATGTTGACCTCAGCACAGTTCAGCCAATCGGTGAAGGTCTTCAGGGTCTCGTGGAATTGCTCCACATTACGCAAGTGCTCTTCCATTTTTTCCTGTCGTCAAATATGTCAAAACAATTAATTCTACGACATGCTCTTGCTCATTTCATTTCATGGGCGAGAGGGGGAGGGGCGCATAGAACCAAAGACCTACAAAGATTTTAAGAAATTACTGGTTTGAATTCACAGAAAATAACAACTGGATTGCATACAAAGCAGCAGGTTGACTTTTACTTAGTAACACAAAAAACATGTTATAAAAAAAAATAATTGTCGAACACTTCAGGTTCCAGGAGCTAAGTAGATATCTACTAATCTAACGAAGCAGTACAAGGCATTCTTTGGGACTGCAATTTCTTCCACAAACGATGCACAGAAAAACTAAAGAGTAAAAATAGTTTTTGTGCCTATTGCAATATTACCACTCTGAAAGCTGCACAGATTACTTGCAATACTGGAAAATCATTATAACATTAATTGTTCATCCGTCGATGTTTGACAATAACCAACGTGTTTGTAAAGGAGAATATTTCTTTAAGAGTAAAAATAAATTGAAGAATTTAGGATTAAGATGACTTGTGGCTTCTGCAATAGACAATGAGACCAATAGTGGCAGAGAAGAGTTTGCCACAATTTGGGCGTTTAAGAAGTTCACTTGTGGATGGGCACAGCTTACAATTTAATTATCTGCTGAAAAATCATGAAAGCGTCATCAAGTGTCTTACCTTCCTCTTCCTGGCCCTGTCCTTGGTATCTGCCCACCTCTCCTTGAGTCTGCGAACACGATCGGCCACCTGGCCCACGTCCTGAGGCCGGCACTGCTCCATCAACTCTTGACCGGCGGTCAGCAAAGCCTCTATGGGTTTCTCTTGACCATCCAGAGCCTGACATTTTTTCTGTTGGAAAGCGTGGGGTAAGATGCAACAACACAGGAGGGGAAAGGATATATATATATTGGAAAGGGGGCAAAGTGTGAAGCAAAGATGACTGATGTGTGTGTGTGTGTGTGTGGGGAGGGGGGGGGGGGGTGTTAAGAGAGCGAAGGTGATTTGTTTTCCCAATGGTACAGTGTAAAGTAAAGTGACTGGTGTGTGTGTGTGTGTGTGTATGTGTGTGTGTGTGTGTGTGTGTGTGTGTGTGTGTGTGTGTGTGATGTGTATGTGTGTGTGTATGTGTATTTGTGCGTATTTGTGTGTGTGTGTGTGAGGTGGGGGGGGGGGGGGGGAGGTTGTTGTGTACAACTTTTTTTTACCTCATTACACAGTCTTCTTTGCTTCATACAACATTAGTTTTAGGGGTGGTAATACTGTAAGGAAAGGTAACTCAAAATGGCAAAGAAGAGAAACAAAACAGAATTTGACTGATGAGAATACAAGAGGAGGGAAAAGCAAAAATATGGGGAAAAGAAAGTCAGCCAAACATGAGCAGAATAAGAAAATAAACAATAAACATGTTTACATTTTTACAATTGTTTCAACTCAATTCCCTGGAAATCTATAAAGGATATGAGGGGCTGTTGAACAAGTGTGCTGTTACAGCATTGAAGTAATATCCCTAATACCACTTGGTACAAATACACACCTATCTAAGACTTCAATGAAAGCATTAAAAAAAATATCATCAAGGCTGACAACTTAAAAAGAAAAGAAGTTTTCACCTCTCTAAAAAATAAATCAAAGCAAACAATTCCACAGAATATCAAAAACTGGTTCAAAGTGCAAATTTTCAAAACAATGTGGTAATGTAAGAAATAATATGTTGATCGGTTGACATTTGTTTACAATTACTTTGTATTTCTACATAAATAAGGGGAGTAACGGAAATTTCTATTTAATTCCTTTTCAAACATTATTCTTCAAAAGTCACAGTACACTTAAGTATTAAACTATTAAGACAATAATTAGGCTTTTAAAACAAATACAGCCGGAAATATAATGTGAAGGAAAAAACAGAGCAGATCTAATAATGGTATGATGAGAAAGTTTTTATACGCATATAAGATTCGTTGAACAATGCTAAAACAGGATAACATGATATTCAATCATCAAATATTATTATGTTAGAGACTAATATGGGCTCAGAACTTACCAAAAACTCTGCATATTGTTTCTCCGATGTGTCTGGCAGGGCACCAAAAGGCTGGTTAGTTTTCAGCTCCGCACGGAAGTCATTGACAGCTGACAGCTGGTCGTCCATGTCACCCAAGAACTTCTTCACCTGTTAAGTATGACCAGAATTATAAAGATTTAACGAGAAAATGCTGCTGAAGAGAATTCTGAAGACTTCATAAGAAAATGCTGCACTAGATGGGAAAAAACAAGATCATGATAGAAAGCCAGTAAACTATTAAAGACATGCAAATTTCAATGCAGCAAAGAAAGAAGGTCTTAACGCTTTCCATATACAATTATTTTATCATTTAAATGTAATACAGAGACTGGTGGCAGAGTGTGCAGTAAGCAGTGGGGAAAAAGTTGAGCAGCAGAGAAAACTAAAGGGAAATTGAAATTTTTAAATTTTTATTTGCCATCTCACCTTGGTCAACTCAGATTTGTTTCAGGGTATCATGTACCACGTTGGTGGTAATGGACTTCAATGTATAGGGAATCACAATATAGTCATGACTGCTGCAGCATTGATGAAAATCATCCCCCCACCCTCTACCCCTTTGCAGGTGTGTGAGTCTCTGTGTATAAGTGTATTTGTGTGTGTGTGTGTGTGTGTGTGTGTGTGTGTGTGTGTGTGTGTGTATGTGTGTGTGTGTGTATGTGTGCGTGTGTGTGTGTGTGTGTGTGTGTGTGTGAGTGCATGTATGAGCATATATGTGTGTATAGGCACGCGTGTGTGTGTACTAACACCTGTGTATGTTTTCGTATTATCTGACCTGTCTCATAGCTTCTTGCAGCTTGTTCTCCTTCTCCCTAGCTGTGGCCTGCGTCCCCCGAATCTTCTGGTTCATCTCCTTCTGTTTGTCACACAGCGGCGACCGGGCTGGGTCTACGCCACTCTGGGCCACCACCTCGTCCACGGCTTTGTTGAGCTTGCGGGCCGCTTTCTCCTTGTTCCGCAAGTCAGACTGCAACAACTGAAAGAGCAACACACAGGCCCCCATAGCTGTACACACCAACACAGGAACTTAGCAGGATAGATTAGTATATTTAGTTTGGTAAAACTTTTGCCACACTCACAACTGTATAAGGTCGTATGAGCGCCCACTCAGTATATAACAGATACATCACTCTTCAAGTGTGATGTGATCAGGATGAAGAAGGTACTCATTATTAAAATCACATCTGAAGGTCCAACTACTATACGATATACAATAAACAAGAACGATTCAGGACATCATACTAGGTATAAGAAGGAGACATATTTTTCCAAGTATCAAATAAAATACACCAGCTGGAATCAGTGGGTAGAAGAAAAAGAGGAATAATTGTAACAATAGCCACGTAAAAAAAAAAAGTATTAATTGTAAAATTTCTCATGTGTTACATAGATCAATGGTCAAAAAAAAATCTTAAGGTATACAGCTTACTTCATATTCCCAAGCTACAGATTGTCAATACATAATCCATGTCCTGTGGTGTTGGGTTTGAGCGCAGTAAAATAACTGTGAAATACGAAAGGACAAAAAATCCCCAGCCCACAATAAAAGCAAAACTGTTGTCATGCAACTTCTTTAACTCAAGAGACAGATGTTGCAATGAGGGAAGAATTGTTGTGAAAATTTGAACAAAATCTTTAAAATTATACAAACTGAATCAACTAAAGATCCCTTTTGGTCTCGACTCTCACCCTTGGCAGAGCATTTTGGTCTTATTTGTCCTTTGCTGTCTCAAAAAAGGCAACATTTGAAACTATATTGTAATACACTGGCTCAGTCTTCAGCACACTGCATATGCGCTTACATTATATTATTATGCCAACATCTGGCAAAGGGAATCCGACGCTCATGGCTTCATGTGCAAATGGGAAAAGCGTGCATCTACCAGCCGCATGTCTCTATTGACCCAAAACGCAGATGTACAGATACAATGCATGTTGGGAGTGCGGGTCAAGGGACCCACTATGAGCGACACAGTCAAGTGGTTTTAAGAATATAATTCCAATCTGCCTACTATGTTGTTCTGTCTGCAACTATCAGCTCATCATAGCTTTAAAACGTCAGCTATATCTTTGTACAGACCGCCGCTAGGTACTCTGATTCCAAACTCTTAAGTCAGGTCCCCATCATTCAATTGCTCTTCCGAAGGCTACTTTATAAAGCTGGATGGGTGCAAGACTCTGACAAATGCCATTTGATTTGCAATTTGGCCTTGTCAGAGTCTTGCCCCCAGCCAATGATAAGTGCAACATTTAGTCTACCTGTAGTTTCCTCATGTGTGTCTCAAGGAACTTTGGGTCTCCCTTGATCTCATCAAAATGTTCCAGCTCCTCTTGGGCAACGTGGAGGGAGCTGATCATGTCATCCATGGCTTGGCTGACCTCCCCTACCTTCAGCTGGGTGTCTGTCAGTTTGGTCTGTGACGAAAATCACCGTTGTTTCAAAAAGGGAACATTGAAAAATAAATTCACGAAGAAAACATACCAAGCCAAATAAAAGAACTTTCAGACTTACTTTTGTCACTGTGAACCCTCAGGTATAGATTTTTTGCAAGGAGATATAACAGGACAGCATCTCTAAAATGTATCATAATGTATTTTTTGTTTATACAAAAATACAATGGTAATGGTGACCATATAAAAAATAAACTTAAAATGAAAAGTGGTGAAAAATGGAGGTACTGAAAAAAACATTTGTTACATAATAAATCATGTTTCCTCATAACATCCTAGTGTTCTGAAAGACAGTTTTAGGTAAATATATGTTTTCCAAATGTTCTCACAGCTGATTTTAGGGTAAGGCGTGAATTGCTCAGGTAACAAAATTTGATCCAAAATTGTCAATTTAACCCCCCCCCCCCATCCTATTATAGCACAACACCAAAGAGTCCATCCAGACCTCTCTCTCCGTGAGTCCCCTCAGCAGGTCGGCCCACTTCTCGTTGGCCTGTTTGACAGAGCGGTGCAGGCCCTCGGCGGCGATGGGCGACGTGTCTCTCAGGGCTGCCATCTCCTGGTTCAGCTGCTGCATCTCCGTGATGTGAGGGTGGACGTCTGCCTTGAACGTCTGCACACAAACAGAGACAGAAAGTACAGTATATCATGGATAGCTCGAATTTGTCGGGACCAGCCTCGGTAGTTCGAGGGATCCGTAGTACAAGGGGTATCTTACAAAGATAAAGAAGGAGAAAAAAACGCGACCACAAGCACGGTTCTACGGAAGCGTGATTTCGAGTCTTCTGAGTTCAACCTATCTGTGTTAGACTGTACATTGAAACTACAATGAAACTTGATCTATCAGCCTCCTGTCCAAGTCTATCACCTGTCGAAACGATCACTTTCCACTTTCCCCCTTTCGTTTTTTTCTATACTATATATAATGACACTGTCCAAGACTTTCACCTGTTTGACAAGTACATGCACACACAGACACACACAGACACACACACACAGAGAAACACACACACATAAGAACAAGCACATGCACACGCACACACAGACACACACATAAAAACATGCACACACTCACACAGACACACATATAAGAACAAGCACATGCACACACACAGACACACACATAAGAACAAGCACATGCACACACAAGACACACAGACATACACATAAGAACAAACACACACAGACACACACGCACACCCAGACACACACATAAGAACAAGCACATGCGCACACACACACATACACATAAGAACAAGCACAAGCACACGCACACACACACATATATAAGAACAAGCACATGCACACACACACAGACACACACATAAGAACAAGCACAAACCCGTGTTTACGCATACACACACATGAGTGCATAGACAAAAATGATTGTGAAATTTGTACACCTCTATCAACACAATTTAAACCAGTTATGAAGATGGCTACATATAACTTCAACCCTGTCTGTCCCGGCCAACCACGGCTAAATAGGAGGCACCATCCCAGAAAAAACTTGGAAACACTTTGCAAAAGTGACGTCTTGACTCAAGAATTAAACTCATGTCTATTGCATACTCTAGCAAAGAGCCGAAACATTACAAACATACACACAGCCACACAAAGTCACAACTAAATGAATACCTTCAGCTCCTCCATCTGGGCTTGTAGTGCCTTGGGGTCAGCGGAAGCAGGTCGCATCTGAGCCAATTTTTGCTCTGCTTTGGGCAGCCATGAGTTCACAGACTGAAACACGAATCAGAGGAACAGCATTATACATCAGATTGGCTGTACATTTCTAATTATAGGGGAAAAAATCAAGTTGCGGAAAATGTCTGAACAGGCACTGGATACACATCCCTTCACAAAAGCATTCCAACATTATACTACATAATTAAAATTTTGTGAAAAATGTGGGAAAAGGTTGCAAAAATCTTGATCAGGGCTGTGAAACAATTTTGTTTTCATGCATGTAAAAATAATCAAGAGTTTTCTATCAAAATAAGAAAACACAACTTTGTTTCAAGTTTTTTAAAAGCAAGGTCTTCTCACTACGGTCAGCTGAAAAAAATCTGTCTGACACAAAAATATACAGCAGGATTATCTCTTTTCTTAAAAATGTATCAAATAAAGTTGCGAAAACTTTAACACAAAATAACTACAAAATCTGCTACTATGAAGCTGTAAAGACACCCCCCGAAAAAGTCTCAACTGTGTTTTTTAACTGATTACCCTTGTAGAATGTGATGTGAAGTTCTCAGTTTCCCCATATTCACATTGAACAAGGGGGGGGAATGCAAAGTTTCTATATTTTTAGAACAGCACAAGTAAAAAAAAAAAGCAACCCATAAAACATTATCACATTATCTTTTATACTTATGTTGGTGAATTAAGACAACCATAATTATAAGATTGCGAGGGTGTCACAATTTCAGAAAACACAACACAAACCAGTTCTCTACTGGGAAGCGTGTGGGAAAAGGTTAAGTGGAGCTCAGCATCAGAAACTTAGATTGAGAGGGTCAGTAAACGCATAAAGCCTCACTTTGACAGTCAAAGTGTAGAAGAACAATAAACGCACAGTGTAAGCATGGAACCATGCACTGCTTTGTTTGGAAAAGTGTTAGTCTCATCCAGCAGGGCGGGAAAAGTTTCTACACACTGACTGGGGAGAAAAGAGATGAGTGTTACTGCAGTAAGCTGTGCAAAAATTCCATCATGCTCTACTCTTTGTACACAGTTTTACTTCTGGATCATTCAAGTCGCGAACATCATGTCCGTGTTGCTGAAAATGTTGTCCTAGCAGCTGACCACTGTGGTGAAGCCAGTTATGTACCTGACCTGCTGTGCGGATGTTAGGCGTACGAATCACAGTAGGGTCTGAGCTATTTCATAAAACCTCCAGGAACAGTTTAGTTTAAGCAGCAGTTTTACCGCACTTGAAACACAATAAGGTCATATAAGTGCCGAAGATTAGAGTGTTACAAGAGAGTAACAAACATAAAAAAAGGGGGGGAGATAGAGACGATAGATTGTTTATAGGAAAGAAGGAGCAAACCACACCAGAGCACCCGCCAACCACTCACACCTCCAGGAACACGTTCACTCAACCAGAGGTCAGACGCAGATTAAACGCCAGCCTAAGAAACAGTCTATATTGTGCAAAGTAGGGTGTCAAACTTTGACAACAACAAAAATAATAGGTGACATTGTATAAGTATTGAGGACACATGTGCACATTAGAGGCAAAACAACATGCAGAGTCGTGGATTTCAGGATATAAACCGTTCTCAAACTTCTCACTAGTCCCGCCTTGTTCAGCCTGTGGTGAACATTGACAGGCAATCAACATATATCACATATCTGAACTTTATTATCTGTCAAAGAAATGTTCAACAATCATTTAGCAGAGGTATATGGATACATTTATCTGCAACAAATAACGGCTCATTTTAAACCCCTCATTGAAAGTAAAATTCCAATAGATGATTTTGAAATGACCGCAGGTCTCTGTGTCTTTAATTTCTTCCTTTTTAAACTTCTACTTTTGTCAGTTTGCAACTTTCAAGTTCTCTCAATGAAAATCAATTAGAAGGATGTGTACTTCTGGTTCCAGCATGATTATGGCAGCTTTCTCGGCTCACACAAGTGTAGTCTGTGCCTCAAATAGTGCTGTCAAGGAAAGTCATGGACGTCTTCAAGTGACCATGCACGGAAAAAAAAAGCAACCCTCAAGGACCAATCTCTTGAGCCTTTGGGCCGTCCTCTGCGCGTGCATTCACAGTGCCAAAAAGCACACAAACTAGTGCAATTAGCTAAGTCCTGGTGCCACACGTGACCTTTGCCCCAAAGCCACGCCCACAAGCACACAATGTCTACCTTAAGTCGCTCCAGGCCCGCCCTCAGCTGTACAGACAGCCAAAAGCATACACTTCATAATTGTAGCTGAATAATCATTGCCAACCACACATGGACAACACACATAGAGGATACAGCATACTTCAGGACAAACCCAAGACCAGTGGTACTGCATAAAAAGGCGATTGCATGAAAAATGAAAAAGCAGTGGCACATGTAACGCAGAGATATGACCTGCTGAACAAAATTCTAAGCAACGATAGAGCCATTCTTTCTTTCTTTTTTGTTTGTTTGTTGGAGGAAATCTTTTTTTTCTCTAACAATAACACCCCAATCCACCCCCCTCACAAAAAACCCCCAATATAAACTGCTCCATTACTGCTCAGAGTTTTTTTCAGTAAGTCATCATCCTTCCATTATGTGTATCACTGCAGTTTAATTTTTCATGGAATGCACCAAATACCCATAGTATCACACATATATAAACAGCCTGCCACCACCGATATTGACAACAGCACTGACAAACTGGCCACCAAGCAATACAGAACAGCATCATTCGTTTATATAGTACAATAGTATATTGACTCTCTCAAAAGACAAAATGTCAAGTTGGCAAACATTGCATATATTGATTATGCCACCTCACCCCCCTAACCTCCCCCCCAACCCCAGTGTACTCTTTGTGTTCCCTTCAACAAGGTATTACAGAAAGACCTTTCCAAGAACTACGATTGTATGACTTCACTCCAAAGACTGTTTGCAATATATACTAATTGACTTGTTTTGCAATGTTGCAATGTATTTCGCATTGTACCATAATCTCTACAAATACTGAGATTATGGGTGCACATTGAAAAATGCAAATCAAAAGACTAGGAGCTAAATCCTCTTTCAGAAAACATTATCAAGATGAACATCTTTGACACAAAAATATTCTTGTTGTACAGAGTAGAGCTAACATAACACTGATATACACGGGGGAAAAGGAGAAGGGGGTCACATCAAAACTAGAACGTTAATATAGAGAGCGGAAGATACAGCAGATCTGGAAAAGAACTATGATTATCTAAAAGTTAATAACTAACGCTGGGGCGGAATTGGGCTGTAACAGGAGAAGTACAAATAACAGAAAAATCTAAGACCTGATCAGCTTTATCTACAGAAAAGGCATGCAAGGCTTTAATAAGTAAACGCTTAGAAGAAACTGTCATCTCAGGCTCTATCAAGGGAAAGATACAAGATCAGATCAGCATCTAGGCATTAACAGAGTAGGCAGGTCACCAGAGAAACACAGGAAAATGGGAGCAGTTTGTTTCGGGGTTCACAAGACTGGAAAAGGGAATACAACAACAGGAAATTGACATAAAAATATAAGGGTAACAGCTGGAAAATAGACATCAACATGTAAGAGTAAAGAGTAGCAACAGAAAAACTAAAACTAATGACAAGAAAAACACTTTGCATCAATGAAAAAACATCTTTGATTCTCCAAACAATAGTTTCATGGTGACAGATTTGAAAAAATATTCTTCTTTGTGTAATGTGCACCTGGTTTCTTGTATACATCAAAGAAGTGAAGTGCCCTTCCAAGGCAGCTAGATTGATCAATTAATAATTGCGCACAACACAACAAAAATTTAAAGTACCAGCAGGCGCCACACTTCACACTCACTACAACATAGTGATAAAGCTAAATAACAGTATACAACAAAGCTTACGTTAAAATGACAAAAAAGTCAACACCAAAAAACCACTGCAAAAAGAAATGAAAGTTGTGGAGACTTCCAAAGGGGAGAAGATATTGTCTGTTAGCTCACCCCTGACAAGGACAAAGAAATTCCCCAAAAATGAAATTCCCAGGAACTTTTATTTAGGTATAATTCATATTGTAGATCTGGAACCCACGTTTCAAATGATGTAAGTCACTTTACCATCCAGGGATCTGTGATAAAGAAATCCTTGTTTTTGCTATCGAACAATACCACCTCACGTACAATATCAGTCCGATCCATCACCTGTGTGACTTTTCTTCTGCTGATAAATTTGTAACTTGTTTATGAAGCTACCCTCGAACCCATCAACAACAAAAACTTTTCACTGACTTTTTCAAAGGAAGACGCAGAACAACAATGACTAGGAAAGTGGTGTTCTAATTCTTTATGCCTGCTAGCTTTTCCGACACTTGAATTATCTTTCTCAAAGTGTTTCCAAACATTAAAAAAGGCACAATCCAAGAAGCGATGAACGGTACCACTGACACTTCAACCCTATAGTAGAGTAACCAGTGATTGAAGCTCTTGGATCAGCAAGTAATGTCTAACATCCAAACAGCCCCATAGTGCAGACTACGTTTTTATAAGAGTGACACACAGAATACAATGTGCAACAAACAACAACCCAACGTGAACACAGACACAAACTCCACACAGTCGGCACGATAATATAGAGGTTCACAGATACAGAAATGCATCCTGTTGATATATAAAGTGTTCTGGCTCTACTTAATATTATGCTAAGCTGATATCTCTGTATACACTTTGTTTCAGTGTGTTAACAAGATATAATATGATCCCTCTCACAGACATATGTGTACTGTCTCTCCCCATCTCTCTCTCTCTCTCTCTCTCTCTCTGTCTCTCTCTCTCTGTCTCTCTGTCTCTCTGTCTCTCTCTATCTCTCTTTGTCTTTGCATCTCCACCTCTCGATCTCCTTCATCAACATCATTGTGTAAATACTTAGTAGTACAAGTAAATGTACTACATAAAGATCCATTCACTGATTCAAGCACAAATATGAAAACACACACACACACACACACACACACACACACACACAAACAGACAGACAGACATACACACTCAAAAAAACAACATGCATATAACACACATACACATATAAAAACACACATAACACACACATACGTAAAAACACAAACACAGAAGCCCAGAACAAGTTCAAAAAGGAACAAGTGCATACAGAGTTCAGCTGTCATTAAATAACACAGACACAGCTGCTAACAACACATATAAATTATGTCAGAAAAACACGACTCCCACCATAGCCCTAGTGCCATACGCTTACCTCTTGGAGGCTGAGGAAGTTCTAAACAAGAAAACATAAGAGATGTCAGACACACTATGGAGGCTACAGTGTACACAAACTAATGCTGGTGATGATATGAATCAAAACAGGTTCACAAAAATATGAACATCTGCATTGTGAGTTAAGCACTGCCTCAGCACGATGAACAATGTCTGTATAATTAAGGCATCTCGCAGGGTAGCAGCACAACTGTCAAACCTCGGGTTTTTCAAATTTTACAGGAAGAAATCAATTGATTTCTCATCACTATATCCACTAACAAAAAGTGTGATTTTAATTAAACATGTATTTTCCACAAAATAATCGCACGACTAAGATCTTTACAAAGCATGCTCCCCTTTCCAGTGCCTCAGAATATGTCAAAAAGTGATTTGTAACCCCCTAGTTAAGATACTTGAGCTGCTACCTTGTGATTTGAAAACGGAACCAATGTCTTCATCATCAACTGTTGACCGCTCACAAAAGTAGAAATATAATAATAACAACTGTTGTCATGTAAAAAAAAATCCATTAAAAACAAAAGCTAACTAGACTGTGGATGAAACTTGAGAAAATGCATTACATAATTTACGCAAAGAAGTAGGTCCATCAAAGCCTATCAAAAATGTGTCCTTTTGAACCCAAAAGCAGATTAATTTGTACCCTTGAAAATATATGAAATTGCACGCTCATCAAAGTTATTTGCTCAAAAGAGAGAAAAGAAAAGAAAACCCTTGTACTTGATCCACAAACGAAGAGCAAGGATCACAGTGGAAGAGCAGCTGATGAGACAAAATAAACTTCCACATTTTTATCAGAAGCAGTCCTGAAGCTAAATAAAGCTTTGAAACATTTTGTTAAGCTGTCATAAGTTTGAGTCCACATAGCTTGAGTACAAACTTATACTCCATCCCAAATGAACAGGCGAAAAACTCAAAAGTGTATGGGTGTGTCCCACATATTTCTGTCATAATTTTTGTCAGTTCAAAATGAATAATCAAATAATCATCACATAGCAAGGAACGTAACATGTGGAGATAGCCTAGAATGTTAGATAAGAAAGTTGAAGGATGGCAATAGCCATCAAAAATGGAAAAGAACTTGGCTATCAAACGTGCTGAAATGTACACAAGTAGTTTCTAACTTTCTGAAATATAGCAAATAGCGAGAAGAATTTTACATCTCAGCTCAACTGTGGAACCAGATCATCAGGTGGTCACAACCTTCCACATTATCACCTAATTCTAAGGGGCGAGAGCCCAGCTGTTGCTGGAGTGATAACAACATCTAATCCTGCGGAGAGTTCATAAACAATATGCACATTGTCTTATGAGAGAGAGGTTACACACTGGTTATTATTCCCGCAATGTATGAATTTTGTCTACACTTGTTCAAGACAATTCATGTTGTGAATACAGAACAAGCTGTTATATTTTAAATGGGAAGCTGACTCCCTTTCTATAAGATGACGATTGTGATGAAAGCAACCAAACATGGAAAGCTGACATTCTCTCTCTCTCTCTCTGTGTCCAACAGCTATAAACATGCTGCGTGAAAAAGCAAAAATGATGACGGTCGCAGCATATAGGAAAAAAGGACAAAAAAGACAGATGTCTACACACCTCGAGTAATTTCTTGAACTGATCGGCATGCTGGTAAGCTTTCCTCAGTTCGTCTCCGCGGTCTCGGATTGTGTCGTTGACATCATCAGTCATGTGGCCCAGATCTTCTAGCTGTTTCCTGACCTCGATGGCTCCAGGCTCACCACAGATGTTGCAGAGTTCTGCACCCAAACCTTTGCTGTCTCCTACCAACTCACGGGCTTTTTCCAGCTCTTTCTTTAGGCCCTGAACAAAGTACACAGAAATATTCTTAGTGCACAAAGTATTAAGTTTTTACACTTGCACAGCACAGAATAAAAGCTAAAATTTGTATATACTACAGGAATAAAATTGTTCATTGCCAATGACAGTTACAGAGGCTTACTCCAAGAAATTTGACTGAATGTGAAATTTATTTAACATGTTTCCAAATATAGCTCATAGCACACCCCAGTCATTTCTTCATTTTAAAAATCCTTTTAAAAAACTCCTGGTGAAGAGATAGAAAGGACAGTTAAGACAAGATTGTGAAGATAAGGCCCATACCAAATAATAAAGTAATGTGAAGTAGTACTACATGGGGAAAGAATAAAAGCAAATCACAATAGATTTTTGTCTATGATTTCTTTCCCCTGTAAAACATCCCTGCACTTACCACATGAGTCTGGTTTTGCAACAAAAAAGAAAATTCTCATCAAGGGACAAAGAAGTGTATAATATGAACAGATTGATGCAGCAAGAGGTACAGACTAAGACATGGAGCACACAAGACAAATAAAATCTTACGGCAAGTTCTCCCTGCTGTTCCTTGATGGCCTCGGGGTCAACACCTGGAGGCTCCTGGCTGTACAAACTGTCCTTGAGGTCACGCAGCCCTGACATGACATCCGTTGACAGGTCGTAGAACTTCTCCGACAGACGGAGGGCCGCGTTGAGGGACTTGTCACGGGCCTGAGCAGAGTTGCCGATGTTCTTGGTCATGTCTCCTATTTCAGCCACTTTTTGTTTGATGTCTTCAACTGCGGAACAAAAAAAAATAGAGAAGCTTGAAGGAGAAGCTGTTTGATGAAGTCACAATATCAATAATAAAATGTTAAACTGATACAGTTTGAAAAAGACAGTGTTCAATCTTTGTATCAGTCTCCTATATTTATTGCCTACTTCCACAGACAAACTTAAATTTAACAGCCTAAGCGTCAGCACTAAATACTAAAAAGCAGTTCAATATATCTTAATTTCTGAAATAAGCACTGTTTATTCTGAACTAAACATATTAATTTACAACGACCATTTATTGAGCAATTTTGTCATACCATCTGCTGGGTCCTCCACACCATGGGCTTTCAGATTCTTCAATATCTCATCTGCCTTGGCTACAGCTCCCTTCTGTCTGTCAAGGTCCTCTAACACAGCCTGGAAGGATGGTAAGATCAAGCATTGGTAAAGAGTGATGTCTATTCCAATAATGTTATCATACAACTCCAGTAGTCAGATGTATAATATAAAATATATATATATTTTTTTTTTTAAACCTTTGCCTGAAAAGAACAAAAACAAAAACAAACTTCAAAAGCAAACTGGAAAAGAATACTTAACATGAAAAATTCTTTAAAAAGGCATAAGTTGATGAAGCTGGTAAGCCCCACTGAGAAACTGAGACTCAAAGAAGTCTTGCAGCAAGTTCTTGGTCTTAGTGGTACTAGCAGATACACAGAAACAAATCACAAAGACTGACACAGATTATGTATCAACAGTATTGAAGTAATTCAGCATTAACAAAAGTATATAAGCAGAAATTAAGAGGTCCTGACAACAGGCGATATATCTTTGGCTGAGATATCTATCTTCTTATACAAGATTGACCGACAAACATATGTGGTCTATCTTGTGCATGGTAAATGCCCTCTGATAAATAGTCTCATTTATCTCACCTTGTTTTCATCAATCTCATTCTTGAGCTTGTCGGGGGAGGCAGGGATAGGGTCAGCATTAGTGACCACTCGCTGTAAGCCATCCAGGTCCTCTAGCAGTTGATCCAGGGACTCGCCAGCCTAGGAAGAAAGACAGCATGTCAATACAGTCAGCTTCTAGTTCAATTTTTCTTTTCTTGGGAAGTTGACTTTCTAATGCCTGATACTTCAAGAAACATTTGCCCTAAACTTACACTATTTGTCAATGATCAAAAGAAAATTAACAGTAAGGTTTTAAAGAACAACACATTCCAACATGGAACTATTGATTAACAAATACAACAACACTTTCCTACTAGGTGCATGTGACAAAAATTTTTCAACACATTTTTAAAGACAAAATCTCATATGCATATTCTAAGCAGTTGGACAAATAATCATCATGTTTTATGCTTTTCCTGGAAAACCCTACAGCTCAGAGAAAGAGAAAAGCATACAATGAAACAACTGAGGTGAAGAGACCAGTCTGGAAGTTTGACAAAGAAGATATTTATATACCAAGAACCACAAAGAACTCTGTTATCAACTCTCACCTCTTGTGTAAACTTTCTCTTGGAATCCATCAGATCCCTGCCCTTGTTGCGAGCCTGTGACTTAAGACCCTCGTAGCGCTTGTTGATGTCCAGCAAGCGGTTCTGGATGTCAACTGCGTCACTCTCCGCACACACGTCCATGAGCTCCAATCCCGTGGAGTTGAGGTCGTCAATGAACAGTTTATGGTCCTCGATAATTTGTTGAGTTGCCTGAGGAGCACAACACAAAGTACTGAAATGAAATGTACCTCTGGCAAAGAAGTTTAATGTTTCCGACCCAAACTGCCTTGAGCTTGTTCAAATATAAGAAACTTTACATGCAAGGTTCATGACATCTTTTATTTAGAGTTCACTTCAGGACCGACAAAAGAAAAGCTCATAAAGCTGCTATTATAACTTTAGAAAAGACAATTTGTGGAGAGCAAATAAAGCAAAGACACCCCCCCCATATGGCAATGAAGTGGCATATTATCTGGGGAATGAAGTGGCATATTCTCTTAGAAGTTCAATTTATATCTGCATCATCAAAAACTCCCCTGCAATAGCTTTTGCTTCGCAGTATTGTTTATCATAATGAATGATCATCTCCTGGGCTAATATCAATCATTGTGCCGGAGATAATTGTCTTGGTGCCTATAGCCCTGAACCAGTCAGATAACTCCAAAGGCACCTCCTAAACATAGGTGAGTATTGCAAAAAAGGAAAGTGTTCCTACCTTGAGGTTATCATGCTGTTTCTTAACCTGCTCCAAGTTCTGTCCGGGTTCCCCCTGGGCCCCTAACTCTGCCTCCATCTCCTCCAGCCATGAGGTCACCTCTGTCTGGTTCTCCCCGTAGTGCGTTGCTAGGGGCAATGCTGCCTCCAGCTGTTGCAGCCTCTCCGCACTGAGCTGACACACAACGTCTGCCTGAGTCTTGATGCTGTCCAGTCGGGACTTGATCTCGTCCGTCTGAGCATTGGTCGTCTCGCGCAGCATACGAGTACATTTGTCGATGATTTCTTTCACAGCGTTACGCTTGTTCTTCAGATCTTCGTCAAAACCCTGTGAGGTGTATTCAATTCAGATAAGAATTTTACACCACCATTACAACCATTACACAAACAGAAAGAAAGAGATTAGAATGAGGGTTAGCTACAGTGATAAAAAAAACAAGGTACAGTCAAACCTTCTCTAATGGCCATCTATCAAAGACAATCGTTTGTACAAACAACCCCTCCACACTCCCCCTTGCAATTTTGCTACACTTTAACGACACTGTTCAAGACGTCCACCTGTCTAAGACCACTGCTTTGTTCCTGTTTTGTCAGGACAGATACAAATTTGTTTATAGTTTAATCCCTGTGTCTCCTTAACCGCTTTGCCATTGACAGTTGAGCAATGGCCAACATTCTAATGGATCAGTAACACTACCTATAGATATCAAAATGAAACGAAGCCTCTCGTAAATACAAAACCAGAGAGTAATATATGAGCCAAATGTAATTTTAAAATGTCCAAACAAATAACTTTCTGGGAAGCAGGCAAAAATTAAAAGCATATCTCACCTTGTGGTCTCTGAGCTGCACTCCCAGAGTCTCTGGATCCACACTGATGGGCTCGGCCGTGTTGATCTCGTTCTCCGCTTTGTCCAGGTACTTGAGCATGCCATCGATTTCTGACAGAGCCTGTGGGCACAACCAAACAAGGGGTCACATACAGGTGGGCAGTGGAAGAAGTCTGACTCACACTTTACTATTGTAGTCAGAAAATGGAGTGGAAGTGTTCATGTGCATGTGTGCCCTTTTGAATATGCGTGTGTGCATGTGTTGGTGCCTGTGTGAAAGAGTGTTTGTACGTGGGTGTGAGTGCATGAGTATGTGTGCTTGTGAGGGAGAAAGGGAGAGGAACTCTACACTCAATTCCAAGAAACAAATTCATATACAAGAAAAAACATCTGCCTACAGTATAAAGATTCAGATGGAACATTCAATTTCACCAAGCCAATTATTTCCCCACTTAAAAGTGAACATTACAAAATGCACAAACTTTGGCGCATATAGAAAAATAATTAAACATCTCTTACTTATCAATGCTATCATGATCGAAAACAGAAAACAACGGATACTAGATTGCAAATTTTACTGCACATGTAAACTCAGAAACAGGAAGCAGGCTCTTATGCATTACAACTTGATTATGTTGATAAAATATCGAACTTACAATAGTTATAAACATCCTCCCCCTTTTCTTTTCCTCCTTTTTCCTTTCCTCCTTTTTCCTTTCCTCTCAATATGTAAGAGAGAGCAGCCACCTACCTCTAGAGAGACCTGTTGCACCAGCAGCTCAGTGAGGTCGTTCCACTTGCCCTCCACGTCGGCCATCGTCTCCTTCATGGCGTACCTGTCCTGCACACCCGTGCTGGTCACCATGTCCGAGCACATCTGCCGCAGAGCCTCCATCTCTCCTTCCTTCTCTTTCTTGTTCTCATGGAGGCTGTCAACCTGGGGGAGAGACAAGCAAAAAAAGGGGGTAATGTTACGTGTGAAAATTTTGTACGTGTACAAGAGAGCTGTGGCTGTGACATCCAGGAAGTGGGTACGGTTATGTGTGAGAATTTAGAAAAACACAGAAAAGAGCTGTGTTTGTCTGTACGTGTGATTATGCAGGCATGCATTGATGTATCACTGTGTTTGTGTCAGTGTGTGCATCAAAGAAAGAAAGAATGAAAGAAAGAAAGAATGAAAGAAAGAAAGAAAGAAAGAAAGAAAGGAAGAAAGAAAGAAAGAAAGAAAGAAGAAAGAAAGAAAGGAAGAGTGAGAGAGAGAGAGAAAGAGAGAGAGAGAGAGAGAGAGAGAGAGAGAGAGAGAGAGAGAGAGAGAGAGAGAGAGAGAGAGAGAGAGAGAGAGAGAGAGAGAGAGAGAGAGAGGGAGAGAGAGAGAGAGAGAGAGAGAGAGAGAGGGAGAGGAGAGAGAGAGGGAGAGAGAGAGAGAGGGAGAGAGGGAGAGAGGGAGAGAGGGAGAAAGAAAGAGAAAGAGAATAATTGTAGGTTTTACGCCCCAACTGATACAATTGAGATAATCTGAAGTCTTAAATATGTATACCTTAGCCCGTGTAGGTTTCGGGGCGCCTCCTTTAGGTTTAAGAGTTTTGATCGAGTCCGCCAGCCAGCCGTCCATTTCCCCGGCCCTGGTCTCAAACTCCACGATGTTGGCCAGGACATCCTCCAGCTCCTGCGTGCGCTCGTCGGCCAGTTTCTCCAGATGCTCAGCCTGGATCTGCAGGGCAGTGATCTTTTCCTCTGCCTCACGGTTACCAGCCACCTCCTGACTAAGCCTGTAAGAACAAGAGCTTGTCTGAGTCAAACAGTACAGATACTTAGGTTATGGGGCAAAGAGGACAATAACTTTGTAAGGATCATCAAAATGAGCATGATGATAAAGTAAAAATGAGTAACAAATATCATATACAGAAAAAAAGATGTACAAACAAACCTGCTCTGATAATCATCTCTGTACAAGCAACAACTTCCAACCCATATCCCCCCCCCCCCCCCCCCCCCGATTTTAAAAAATATCCGATTGACACTGTTAAAAATGTCCACATTCCTAAGACAACCATTTTTCTCCTTCTTTTGTTTGTATACAACTCTCTAGTAACACCTCTAATCCTTAGAACTTATAAGACTTATTTGTATTGCAAGTGCCATAAAACATTTACTAAAACTAAAAATGTATTTTTAAAACGCAGAGGGAAGCATGAGGAGCAGACAGTACCTGTCTAAGAGAGAGCGGCTGCTGTTGAGTGTGGCATTGAGAAGTCTCTGTTGTTGTAACTGCTGGCCCAGCTGCTCCTTGTCCAGGCTCACGTCCCTGTCCTGCTCCAGGACTTGCTCTGCTGACCGCAGGTCACCCTCCACGACCTCCAGGCGACCTGTATGGTTTAAATTGGAGTTAAAGTAAAGAAAAGCACATCTACCCAATAATGGACATTTGTATAGTGCAGCGGAACAGTAAGACATATAGACCTTTGATCCTACCTGTCAGGGGAAAATTAAATGGTGAAATAGTATAGATTTAATGCCCCTATTAACATTATTAGGTTATTGTTACTACCTGCCAGGGTCAACCAAACATGTGGTAGATCAATTTAATATATGGTAGGTCTACCAAACAAGTGGTAGGTCTACCGATCTACCAAATATGTAGCAGCTCCACTAAATGTGGGGTCAGTCTAATTAACACTTTGCGATCACTTAGCACAATAATGTGACGGTGAAAGGTGAAAATTCTCCGTTCTGGTCACGTGGCACAGTTCTGCGCCAGGCCCAAGAAGTCCATTGCAGTCACTCTCCTGGCTGGGTGACCAGATGGGGTATTTTGTACAGCTGGCCGTGTGACTGCAAAGTGTTAATGTGTGGCAGGTCTACTAAATGTGAGGTAAGGCTGACCTATGACGTTCTCCTGTTCAGCCACGGCGGCGTCCAGCAGCTGCTCGTGGTCAGAGATCTCCTCCAGCAGGGTGCGGTGCTGCTCTCTCTGCAAGTCCACGCTAGCCTGCACGTCTCCCGCATCCTCCACTAGACCGGCGTCAGACAGGCCAGACGCCAGACGCTCGCCAGCCATGGTGAAGTCTGTCGGGATACAAGGACATGAGGTGAAGGGAGAGAACCAAGCGTGGCAAAGACAGGGCGATAAAGGACAAAGAAATAATTGTTCTGAACATTCAAAACGTTACTAAACTCTAAATTGCACAAAACCAATACTGTATCATCAACTTCTTATAAACAACATAAAAGAGAAAGATAGAAAGAAATGGGGAGGGAGGGGGAAGGGTGAGTTGGAGGGAGAGGGAGGGAGGATGTGAGAAAGTGTGAGTGTGCGTGTGAGAAAGAGAGAGAGAGAGAGAGAGAGAGAGAGAGAGAGAGAGAGAGAGAGAGAGA